TGAGATATAGTAGGCATGTGGAAGGGGATATACACATCTCATAACCTCCGTAAAAGAACATAATTGCATACTTTTAACTTTTGGATAATCAAAAAACAAATAATCTAGTAATATATTTTTTCTAGATTTATTTATTTTTTTTCTATCAAGACTTGAAGCCAAATTCAGGAAATGATAGCTGAAACAGAGAGGAAATTATGCTAGGAAAACCATACTTGGGTCATTTAATTAGACTAAATAAAGAACTAGTCAAGACAAGTAATACCAAGTGCATTGAATTCTATATGGACAAAATCATACTCTAACATGACTGTCGAGCAAGCTCCAAAGCAAAGGACATTTTTCCAAATTTCTATTAAGTTTAAACAACTCTGTTTTCTTTCCCTTTTTTTTTTTTCTTTTTTTTTTGAGAAGGCTAGATATCCTAAATGATCATATAATCCCAGCTCAAAAATTAAAATGCAGACCAAATGAAAGGGTATGGAAATCAATTTGAAATGGCAGTATGTACAAGGAGTTTTCAAGCTCATTGTCATGAAATTCATATCGTTCAGAGCTTGTGACAGAAGCAGAACACAGCTTGTACCATATAACATGAATATTAAATTCAAATAAGCTCAGAAGCCATAAATGAAGATTCCTATATACTGCATACTTCGCAATGCTATGACCAGTTAGAAATAATCGAAAAACCTTATTTCATAAAGCACATGAAAATCAAGGATAAGCAGCAGCATATTCAAAGGATCAAACTTGCATCAGATTCCAACATCCATTTTGCAATTGCTACTCATTCACTAAGCAAAAATGCACTTTGTCTACAAGAAATTTAGGCAGCACATAATAAGAACAGAAAATTTTTATATGTAAAATTTTCCAGGCAGAACACAACAACTGCAATTAAAAATAGAAAATTTCCATTAAAGGGGACCCAATGTTGGGTCGATCCCTTCAACGGATTCAAGCTCTAGTAGAATTGAATGTAAAGAGTACCTGAGATTGTAGAAAAATCGCACTTCTATTCCTTGAAAATCGATTAAAAAATAGCAAGTGTTTACAAGCTTCACTCTGATATCTCTGGAAGAGGAAGAGGTTAGGAACAGCGAAAAAAAAGGGAAAAAGATGATGATTTCCTCTCTTTTCTTTCCTTTTTTGGTCGTCGGCTCCTCTAAAACACTCCGGAAAAACCCAATCCTTCAAAACCCTAGATCTCAACTCGTTACGCTTGAGCCTTCGAGGAGTCTACCCTTGGTGCACCTTCCGCGAAGTTTCCTGTAGAGAAGGAAAAATGGGTCACGATCCGGTACGAAGGTCGGTGGAAGAAGACGATATAAGCTAAAACGACGTCGGTTTTTAGGGGTCAGATTTACGATTCAATCCACGACTTTCGTCCGCCTGTCTCTTTGGTCTGCAAACTTGGCCCACCTTATATTTAAGCCCCTGCAATATGAAACCTTCGATTTTAATTTATCGCGATTTGGTATTAAATGATGTTTAATTAAATTTACTCTCGATTCTTCTTGAAAAAAAAACATTTCGTATTAATTCTCCTATCACATTAGGGCTCAAAATATTAGAAAATTTTCATTCAAAGACTGAAAATTTTGTGAGAAATTAATATTTTAAAAAAATAAAAATTATATTCTTATTTAAATCTATTGAGTAAAGTCAAATTGCATCTTAAGTTATTTTGATTTTTAAACGAAGGGGTTTTAATTTTT